TTGCCTGCGGGGCTGTGAAAGTTTTCTTTGCCTGCGGGGTTGTGAAAGTTTTCTTTGCCTGCGGGGCCGTGAAAGTTTTCTTTGTCTGCGTGGCCGTGAAAGTTTCTTTGCCTGCGGGGCTGTGCAGAAAGTTTTCCTTTGCCTGCGAGGCCGTTAAAGTTTCGTCCCCCCGTGTAGAGTTTAGATTTGGTTTACTTTCTGTAGATGTAAAATTGTGTCAGGCCTGCGGGGCCGTGAAAGTTTTTTTTGCCTGCGGGGTGCCTGGGAGGAAGTTTTTTTGCGGGGCCGTGAAAGTTTTTTCTTTGCCGAGGAGAGGCCGTTTGTGATTTATTTGCCTGCGGGGGGGCCGTGTTAAAGTTTTCGTTGGGGCCGTGTAGGAAGTTTTTTTTTTTTGCCTGAGAGGCCTTAGGAGGCCGAGAAATTTTCTTTGTCTTCGTAGCAGCGAAAGTTGCTTTGTCTGCGGGGCTGTTAAAGTTTTCTTTGTCTGCGGGGATCAAAGTTTTTTCTTTGCTTGCGAGGCCCTGAAAGTTTCTTTGTCTGCACTGTCATTTAAAAATTTTTTGTTTGTGCTTCTGGGGTCGAAAATAGTTTCGGTATTTTGCTTTTTGGAATGAAATGCTTTATGTTCACCTTCGGTTGTGGTAGTGTGATGCTGGCGCGCAAGAATAAATTTTTTTTTTCTCCTTTAGCCTTTTTTGTTTTTGTGGCTTGAATTTTACTTTGTAGCCCCTCGTTTAAGAAATTGCTTGCTGATGTAGAAAGTTCTGTTGCCGTGCTTTGCTTCGTTGGAGTGTGATGCCTGAGCATCAGTCGCCGTTCATTTGCTTGTGCAAGCTTACGTGTAGTAGCTTTTAGTTGTACGGTATGTAAAAAAAAAAAAAAAACGAAAGACTGCTCTGCCGTTGTGTGTTTTTAAAACATTTTTTGGCCTGTGAGGCTAGGAGCGTTCATCGTTATTGCTGGAAGTTTGAGGTTTTGATAATTTAATTTAATTTTTATTTAATGTAATCTAACTTAATGTAATGTAATATTTCATAACTTGTAATCTAATCGGTGTTGTTCTTTTTCAGCCTGTATAATACTGTGCTTGATCAGTTATGAGATTGAGTAATGAAAAGAAAGGAAATGAATGGATCAGTGATTTTTTATCTTGCCTTTTGAATTCTGTTATATAGGAGGAGGGTGATCTTGCTCGTGTCTTAGAGAGACTTAAGAAGTTGAAAGATTCCAAAAAGAAATCTATTGAGTCAGTGTTGGAGGATTTACAGCACCTAATACGTTCTCCGTTGTTCCAGAAGGACCAGGCAATTGATTACCCAGTGAATCTGAAGATTGTGGCCAAGGAAACAAAACACGCGAAAGCTGGATTTTATTCTGCAGTGCTAACAGCAATGCAAAATAAAATGTGGGCCTCAAACATGCAATTTAAGCGCTATCTTGAAGCCCTCTTAGGAGATAAGAAGGATGAAGTGGTACTCAAGCGGATTGTTGCCGTAGATAAAGCGTTGCGAGTGCCTGGAGTTGGTGCAAATCGTTTCACGCCAAGGGGGAGAGGCAGGGATAGATCACAAGTCCAGTGTTTTCAGTGTGGCCTATATGGGCATTATCAGAGGTTCTATTCCTCGCGTCCACAGCCAGGTCCTCAGTCTAAGAGGCCTCGCCTTTATAATCAAGGAGTTGAGGCACCTCAAAAACAATGAATGTATTGACAGGATTAAGGCGTTTTCCCAATGTTTTTTGATCAGTTTCCAGTATTTATGCCGTGTGTTTCTTGGCATTAAAGGCTCCCTTTTCATTGTGTCAATCGGTGTCTGTTGTTGTTTCAATTTTAATTCACTCTTGTAAGTTCTGGATCGGGGTAGAGTAGCTCCTGCTGGTTCATCACATATGGTGACCACCAGACGACCTGTTTTCAGGCGAATTGAGGCTGCTCCCTCCTGATCAGGAACCCCAGGTCTTCCCATAGGTGATCTCTCTTTTTGCCCTCTTTTCCTTAGATTTTGGGTGATACTAAGCGTGAAGCTGCTGTGGATAACTTTTACGTTCTTACGGAATTTCAACTACAGACAACGGCAATTAAACCAAGAAACGAGACCCTATGGGTGGATATGACTGGGGTTCCCGTTCAGGGGGGTGCGGCTGTGTGTTGGGAAAGTGTTATCTCATCTGGTAAGGTTCCGGATCTGGGGACTTTACATTTAAGGGATCCGGATTCCTTTGTGGCAGGTGGTCTTCACCGTAATTCGGCCGCCTGGGAGCTGGTACTTGAGGGTCATCCGTTGAGGAACTGTATTCTAGATTGGATTAGAAATAAAGTCGACATCTTAAGTTTTTCAAGACCTTTTGCGGGAGTTTTCAAGAGAGCTAAATATTCGTCTACTGTTCCACCTAAGAAGATTTTCCCGAATCATGTAAACTGTAAAAAGTTTACGGAATTTATATCCAAGGAGATTCGGAATCGTGTTTTAACCGGCGCTGTTAGAGTCTGGGGGGTAGTGGGTGTCGATGATCCCCCTCATCTTGTGTTGCCACTCACGGTTGAAGCTACGAAGCCTCGACTTTGTATTGACGCGAGGTTTCTAAACCTTTGGATGAAAGATATGCCGTTTTCCCTGGATAAACTGAGTGAAGTGTCTAGGTATGTTTACCCCGGATCGTTCATGACCAAGTGCGACGACAAGTCCGGGTATGATCACGTGATGTTGACAGAGTCCTCGCAATCATACTTTGGGTTTACTTTGGGTGCAGTTCAGGTTGCTGGCAGCTACAGGTGCCATATTCGTTGTCCTTTCTGTGTTGGTTGATCTCGGTTATACCATTGGTATCAAGAAGTCGGTTCTTGTGCCGGTCATATCCCTGGGGTATTTGGGTCTGATCGTGGATTCCGTTCGACAATCGTTTTTGGTGCCGCGCCGTAAGATTGAGTCCTGGGCCTTAATTAGGGAGAAAATTCATGCCTGCAAGAAAACTGTTTGGATCAAAACTTTACAACGATTTCAGGGGAAATGCATATCTTTCTCTTTGGCTGTTCCAGCCGCGAAATTGTTCATTAGAGAAATGAGTAGAGCGATCGCTTCTGGCTTGATGGGCAAGTGTCTATGACCGAAGCTTTGAGGGAGGAAATTTCGCATTGGCGTTACCTTGACGACTGGAAGGACACTCTTCCGTGGAGAGACGAGAAGCATGTGCGTATTGCGATTTCTACCGATGCGTCCGGTTATGGGTGGGGTTGTGCAGTTCATTCACCTTCGGATGATCAGATTTTTCGAGATTATTGGAGTCAAGAGGAACTGTGTCTCGATATTTCTGCAAAGGAAATGTTAGCTTTGTTGTATGCTATTAAAGCTCTTCCTGACGGAATTAAGGATTGCCGAATTGATGCTTCTATTGACAGTATGGCAGTATTAGGTGCGTGGCAGGGGTCTGGCAGTAAGAGATCCCCCCAGTTAACGTCAGCTACAAAACGACTTTATTTTGCTCTATCTTCTCGTAATGTTCAGTTGAATTTATCCTATGTACCATCTAGGGAAAATGTGGCCGATTTTCCGTCTAGGACAATGTCACGTGTGGATTCCAAATTGTCAATGTCAGCTTTTGAGAGGGTCGATAAAGAGTTTGGTGGAGTTGAAGGTCATTCGTTTGACTTGATGTCTTTGGACTCAAATGTAATGAAGAACAAAGATGGGTTTTCCTTGCCGCATTTTACTCCTTTTCCAAGCCCAGACTCCAACGGTGTGAATGTCTTCAGTCAAGACTTGCGGGTTTTTCCGTCCATGTCCAATCCTTATGTCTTTCCGCCATTTTCTTTGATTGGTCCACTGTTGAAGTTTCTCTTGAGTTTTAAGATCTCGTTCACTATTGTGGTTCCAGAGTTTGTTCCTCATCGCTATTGGTGGGTTGAATTGAACGCAAGGTGTTCTGGGAAAATTTGTCTTGGTACACAGGGTGACTTGAGTGTTCTGCTATCCCCATCAAAGTCGGGTTATAGTCCAACACCTTGTCCCTTTTCTATGTGGGCGTTTCGCGTGTCTCGGTTCTAGGTGTAGAGTCGGGCTCATTGTTTGTTTCGTTTTTGTTCCCTACAGACATTGCCTAGAGTTCCGAAGTTATTCACTCCCTGCGTTGCGTGCCCACGATGCTCACATCCGAACGATGAGGATTTCAATTTCTGTCAGAAATGTGGTTATGTTAGACGTGCTACAATCCAAGGACCACAAAAGAAATTGGATATTGATGAAGGCAGCATTGCCCAACGAGTACGCGAGTTGAATGAGCAACGTAGTTCGTCTCGTTATTCTAAACAGAAATCAGCTCTGGAATTGGAGTTTATAAATTTTCTGGGAAACTTGTCAGTCCCCAAGTCTTTGTCGTCAGCGCTTCCTTCGGATGTTATTGCGTTCCTTGTGTGGAAGGATGGAAAGGGAAGGACACGAGTTCATAGACAGGATTGTCACACCTGGGGAGGTAATGCGGGGCTAGATTGTGAGTGCCCTAAACGTTTGGCATTTGGGACTATAGATTCACTGATTGGCAAGTTGCGTGCTATATTTGCAGAGAGTGGTCGAGGCGCAGAATGGCAGTCTTTGTTAGGTGTAGGTAATCCAGCTTCTTGTGGGTCAGTTAAGAATTATTTGAGTAATGTGCGGGAAGAACAACTAAAGGCTAGGGTAACTCCACGCCAGGCAGAGCCTATCTTAGTGAACGATTTGTTGGTTATCTCTGAATTCATTAGAGCCCTTTTGTTGCATTCTTCGACTTTGCGCGCAATTCAGATTTTTATGTATGCCCGCGATCAGGCTTTATTTAAGGTATTATTTTTTGCTGGTGATAGAGCAGCTGATTTGTTACAAGTAAAAGTTTCTGATGTTTTACGTTTCTCGGATAATTCTGATTTGTTGTTCAATCATGTTTAGACAAAGTCTCTCAGGTCAGGTGACGCAAATGTGTTTGCCTTTAAGCGGGGATCTAATCCTTTGATTTGTCCTGTCCGGGGTTTGGAAATGTATTTTGATGTGTGTAAGCTGTTACGTATTAACCTTGCGCCAGGTTTCCTTTTTCGCTCTATTTCAAAATCTGGCGGAGTTTGTTTCAGCCATTTGGAGTCTTCGGCGGCTCAAGCGCGATTTAGTTTTTATGTTTCCGCGCTAGTTGGGAAGTTATCTAGTAGTCATTTAACAGTTCATGGGTTTCGCAGTGGGGCGGCTGTATCTTTAGCATTGCGAAGCGTAAGTCTCAGTGAAATCATGGACCACATTGGCTGGAAATCTAGTAAGACGGCGCTTCACTATATCAAACTTAAGCAAGTAGTGAATCCAGCAGGCGCGGCGGCTAAACTAGCGGATCTCCCTCTACAAGCGGGGCAGGACTACAAACATCAGGATCATCTTGTGGGATTCTCCCAAGCTTTTTCATGAATTTATTTTATTGAAGTTTTGAACTATTATAATATAGGTTATTGTTAATGATTAGATATAGTATGTATTAAGTAAGGATTGGAAAGAGGATTAAAGAGTTCTTTGTGTTTCTTTTCTTAGGGTGTGTGATTGTTCATTTCATATGAGTGTGGGTGTAGGCTTGGGAAGGCCAGAGCGATTCTCCATACCTTATTACCATCTCATGAATAACAATTCCTAGGGAGGAATATTACACTATGCTAACTCAATTAGCATTGGTAATTAGTCCCTACGGATTTTGGATATAATAGATTGTTTTGTATCACTCCTTGTCACTTCACTTGAGGCCTTGGGCTGTGTTCTGCGCATCGAAGCGTTTTCCCACCCACCCCACCCCCGGTCGGATTGATCCGTCTCACCATCACCCCTTCGCCTGGCTTGGGCTTTCCCGGCCAGAGCGATTCTCCATACCTTATTACCATCTCATGAATAACAATTCCTAGGGAGGAATATTACACTATGTTTTACAAAAAATTGAACAGTCACAGTTGTCCGCCTCATATTGAAGGCAAGGACAAGTGCCTTCCACAGTGAATCTTCATCATCACCTCTTACTTCAATCATATCATTTCGTACTAGAATTAAAACGTTCTCTGGCTAAAAATCTAAAGAATATCACCTTTCAGCTGTCGCTCTACATCCTTTGACATGTAGTCTGCAGAGCGACAGCCAAAAGCTGATACTCTTTAGATTTTTAGCCAGAGATCGAGTTTCTAATACAAACAGAATGTAGGTAAGGGTGCGTTTCTTTCATTTTCTCATACAAAGTCTTATAATCTGACTTGATAGTAGTCAGGCATGGTTACTATAAAAATCAAAATAAATTCAGGTTTTAACTTGACGACTTGATATTTGATGTGTCTATAGCCTTATAATAGCCCTGTGCACTGCACTTTTCAAAAAGCATTAGTAACTGACTCCACAAATATTCGACAAGAACTATTTAAAAAAAAACTGGTCAATTTGCAATTTTTAACTTATTTTGACTAACAAAAAAATTGAAATATTCCTTAAAAATATTTCAAGTGTCAATACTTAAAGACCAATCATGGGATATATATGACCTAAAATTTCAATTCATTCCACCTAGTTTAACAGCTTCCAAGATACCACTTGTATTTTTTTATGTGGGCACCCTCGACCACCAATGTGGGCATATTCCACCATGTGGGGAGGTTCGACCTTTGACGTGGGCTTCTTCGACCTTCAATGTGGGCAGGTTCGACTATGTGGGCAGATTCGACTCTGTGTAGGCGGGTTCAACCTTCGTGTGGGGAGGTTCGACTAGGACACTAACCCTAACCCTAAATTAGGTTCCCGGAAGTGTTCTCCTGCCTACAATCTACCCTAGACAACATAAATTTTTTTCCTAGCAAGATTAGGGGTTTTCCTTCTAACTATAGAATGTTTGGTTCTCATCCAACGTTCTGTGTAAGTTTTAGAAGATATGGTTAAAAGTCTTTTAAGTTATAGTCCTTCAAAGTTTGAAATGAGGGCAGGTCAACAAGATCGGGAGAATCTATGAAGAAAGCGTTATTTTGTCACCAAATTTTGCCTGCAAACGTTTTAAACAAGATAAACAATCACCACAGATTACCTTTGGCTAACCCTGGCCAATTAAAAATCTCCAAACTTTGCTCGGGAAAAAATGACGGCCAGGTATACGCTCTACACATCACCTTGTAAGACTGGACGAAGAAATTTGGACTATAAGGTAAGGTGATTATCCATGAAAATTATATCTCTCTGTAAATGCGAGGGTTAGAGTTGAAATTTACACAGGAAGTAACTATGTAAATTTTGTGTTATCACCGTAAGTTTCATGTTATTTCCAAGCGGGAAACTCTTTTTAGAGTTGCTTTTGTACGGAGGACACTTTTCCAAATATTGTGGGGGCAAAGCTATTCCACATTTTCTGCTTAAGCAGTCGTTTTCTGCAAACATTCTTTAAAAGTTTTTACATTATTAGAAAGCTCTTTGCATGGGCTTTACATTGGCATTTCTTTAACTCCTAACCCTTGCATTGTTTTGAAGAAATTCTCTGATAAAGAAAGTGAATGGGGGCAAGAAAGCACTTTTTAGGTTGTCATGTAAAAAAATCATATAAAATCGATATTTTAATATAACATCATTATATCCTGATACAATAAAGACAAATAGTAGGAGCAGCTTTTCAGAGGTTTTTGAGTTCTTTAATGGAACAGTCACAGAGATATAGAGGTCTAAATCATGCACAAGTTCAAAGTGCCAGTTTTGTCATTTTAAGGACATGGTTGACTTAATGAGACCACAACTACCCTTTAACCTTAGTGAAATACAATGAAACTCTATTGAAGTATTATCATATAATGGGACTTTAACTTACTTATAATTCGTGATATTCCATCAAGCGTAAAGAAAGATATAGAGACTTCAAGCTCCTTTAATGGAACTCAAATACATTTGCATATTATGGTCAACTTTAAGAGGCCAAAACTATTCTTCTGCTTTATCAATCTCAACGAAACTTTAACATAAGATGGTACATAAATAGAAATTAAATATACTTGAAATTTATGTAACTCCAATAAATCTACAAGAAAATATTTAAATTTGAAGATACCGTCATGATTTGCATAACATAGTCACTTTTCGTGCATCTGACACGAGGTCACCATTTCCACAAGCCTTCGACTGGTAAGTCATGCTTTTTGATGCTCCGTTATTCTTCTTGTTTAGCACCCTTAGAACACTAGGCAGAAGCAATCAAACTATTGAAAGAGATGTCTAAGGTGGTCGGGCAGCTTTCTTGAACATTTTCTTGCAATGGAAAACAGTTGCTTCTTCGTAGGCTTTGGTCAAAGTTTAAGGGTGCACTCTTGACCATGATGTTGTTGAAGGACCTCGTCACTAGGGCTTGAGGACCTCTTTTTTATATTTTGATGTGATATTATGCTTGTTTATGATGTAAGGAACCGTTTGGTGTTACTTGTTTTGAAATCAGTCCCTTTGTTCATTAACTATGACGTCATTTGGTCGGAAACTTTACAACTTAATAACTTTGCAAAGTCTCAGGCATTTGGCCACTTTAGTATTGATATTTGTTGGCTGGAGGAAGGCCTACATGCATGCCACAATTTGTCGCAAACGATAAAATCCTTGCGGAGTTATTAACGTTTAAACTTTCTTACAAAATGGCGGACGCAGTTTTTTGGTACCAAGTCCCCTCGGCGCGCGCGCGAAAGTCAGGGTAGACTTTAACTGCCTATATCTTCTAGAGAATATTAAATTTGACTGTGAAATTTACAGGGGTTGTACTATGGCCCACGAGCTACTCTCTCATGTAATAATATTTCATTTTTAACTGGATAGTGGATTCTTGAACTTGCATCTGTGGACGATATCATTCAAGCTAGTTTGTATTTATGAAAAATGTCTGCAAAAGGCATTGAAGAAGTTAAGCGTTTGGCCACGAAAGGACTATCGGGGGATGAAGAGGCCATTAAAGAGCTGGGCCTAGAAAAAGTTCCAGAAGTTACAATCCCAGATTTCAAGGAGATTGACCGTTTCACGGTTGACAAAATTAAGAATGTGGCAGCCATCTCATTTGTAGTTGGGAAGAAAGTGGGCCTTCCCTTACTAGAGGCATCGGCCAAAAACCTGTATGAATTAGTCAAATTTGTCGAGAAAGACAAACTAAAGACAAATACGAAGCCAGAAATGGATCGCAGTGATGTAGTTAGAAGAATGAGCTACTGCTGCAAAGACATCGCAGCATGGTCGAGGAAAATTGGGGAGGTGGAGGGCGGAAAAGTGCTCCACAAACTTGAATGGTTTTCACAGAGTCTAACTCATTTAGAGATAGGAAACAAGGAGTCACTTCGGCTTATTGGTCTTAAGAAAATGCCAGCGGTAACAATTGCGCCGATAAAGAAAGTTCCTAACTCAATGACACTCCAATGCTATTATAAGAGGGCCCATTTGATTGCCTCAACGGCAGAGTATATGGGAAATACCACTCTTCGAATTGTATCACAATTCATGATGGCCATGTGTGATGTGATTGCAAGATCGCATCACCCAGAAGAACCAGAGCTCTCGGCAGACACCGACGGCCAAGACGTTTGCGAGACACTAAACGCTGAGATAGAAGACATCATGAGATGGGTAGAGCACTTAGCGGAACTAAGAAAGAAGGAAAGGGCTGATGAGGAAGAGGAAGATGACAGTGACCCAGCGTATAGTCCAGAATCTTCAGGGGAGGAGAGCGAGGAAGAAAGTGAAACCAAGGGAGAAAGTGAAAGTGACAGTAAGCAAAGAAGGAAAAAGATGCAGAGGAGAGAAGCAATGGAGATAGACAGCCCAAAACCATCAAAGGAAAAACCAAAGTATCTAGCATATAGAGGACCCTTAGACCTAACCAAGGATACCTTGTTTGCAGATTATCGGGAGGCTGCAAACTGCTATCTCTCTGCTGCTGAACTAGGTCTAGACTCAGTTGTGAGCAGCAGCACGTTGGCATTAAAATACTTCTCTTATGTGGCCAAGACGCAGTTTGATATCGACCTTTCCAAAAAGCATGACATAAATGCCATAAAACGCACAGAAGTAGAAGACATGATGAATAACATGAGAGATGAATGTACTAAAGAAGGCGCCAAAACCAACAAATGTAACGAAACCACCTCTGCCGCTGATGGCGCAAAAAGCTCCAAGGCTAGCCAAAAAGCCTCTAAAGAAGTCACTCCCCGAAAATTCAGTCTTGCAATTAAACCCCCTACCAAGGATGAAGATGAGGAATCGATATCATCGAGAGATGACGTGGAAGGAGAAGTTCGAGAGGAAGATGAGAAAAGAAGTCACCACTCCAAGGTGAGATGCAGAATCCCTGGATGTGGAATGATGGCAGGCGACATCAAGCGTCATCTTGAAGTGCATGTTGGTAAACAGATCGAGGAGGAAGATGTGCCGAGGGCTGCAGCGATTATGAAGGCAGGAGAAGCTCTTGGAAACGCTGGACCCCAACGGTAAGGACATCACCATCCTAGGGGAGGAATTTGGATATCGTATGGAACAAATGGGTCAGCCCACACCTTTCTGAGGGAACGAAGGCACCAGGTACGTTGGCCTCCTATTTGACCAGTCTGGAAATGTTTTTCGTTTTCGTCACGTCCGACAAGTACAAAAGAAAGGAAATGCCGCCGCTGCATGGCAACGATTTTGACGTGTTTAAGGGGACAATCAACGACCTGAAAGGCTGGCGTGCAACTATCGATAACGAAACCCAGGATGTTCAGCACCGGACCCATCTCAGAGAGTGCGATACTCTCTTGACGGAAACAGACATCAACCTTCTCTCTCAATCAAAACCCTACATAGATGGTATGAAGGCCATAACTCAGGCCAAGGCAGGAAAAAGGCTCTCATACAACAATTTACAAATGCTCGCGATCTTCTTCTGGTAAAACTCGCGCTACTTGTGGCATCTCGACCTGCCCCGCTAGAGAATGCTCTTCTTGAAGACTACCAAAAAGCGCAGGAGAAGGACGGAAACAGGGTCATGTTAATCCCGAAGCATAAACGATCTAGAGAGGGACTAGCACCACTTGGCATGGATAAAGAGCTGCAAGATCTCATGGAGGTCTATGTCAATAAAATCAGACCACACTTTGTTGTAAAAGATGTCAAACACCTCTTCGTTAAGAGTGACGGCCAATCATTCAACAGAAATACCATTGGAAAAAGATTCTCTGCTTTCTTCGAGAAAAGTGGCGTGAGGACCGACAGACGCGTAAGCCAGACTGCTGTAAGAAAGTTTGTAACAACGGCAGCGAGAAGGCATGCCCCAGAGGAGATGTCGAATATCCAGAGGGTCTTGTGCCATAGCGAAAGGTCATCTCGCAACAGTTATCTTAGGTTGGACTTGACAGAGACGGCCTCACACGCCATGAATATCATAAAGAAAGTCACCTCCAGTGAAACAGAAACTAAAACAAAGAAAGAAACTCTTGCTGAAGAACTTCCCGAGAAACAAATAAAGAAAGGTGGTGAGGAGAGTGACCAAAGTGCAGACGTTGATCTTCCTGGGCCAAGCCAACTAGCGTCTGAAGATGACAAAACCTCCACAAATGTTATCCCACCAACAGTCTCCCCTGGCAAGGTTTCAAGTCTGACAGAAAAACAGAACGAAGCCATTAGGGAAATCTTTTCATCTGCCATTGAGAGAGGGGAGAAACAACAAATGAAGGCTGTGCGAAATAAAATGTCGACCACACTAATCTTAAGGAAAATGACTACTTCTATCTCAAAGGTAAAACAGGTAACCAACTTCGTCAACTACCTAGTGAGCAAACGACCCTTTGAGGTGGAAGGTTTGCCAACCCAAGCAATTGAAGTTGAAGAATGGCTTGATGACCAATCCTCATCACTAAAATCTGATCAACGGATGCACTGGGATCAACGAGATACACAAGCGATGGAAAGAGAGTTCCGTAGGTTTCGAAAATGTCCACCTAAACAACAACTAAGGCAGATGTTCACGGTGAATGCACGCCTAGCTGCAATCTGTAAAAAGGAGGGTTTCAGTCGGTGCTACGAGAAGGTAAAGAGCATTATGCGGAAGAAAAACAAGTAGTGACTCCAGCTACACGTCATAGTGAAAAATCACTGCTTCTCTGTAAATAACTTTGTTCGTGTTGCTTCCGTTCCTTTTACTAAGTTAGTTCAAGCCGTTGCGTGTCTTTGTTCATGTTGCTTCCGTTCCTGTTACTAAGTTAATTCAAGCCATTGCATGTCTGTAAATAAGTCTGTTCATATTGATTCCGTTCCTATTACTAAGTAAGCTCAAGACGTTGCGTTCCTGTAAATAAGTTCGTTCATGTTTCTTTGTCAGACGTTCTCCTGGCAACAATGAGTTGGGCTGGTTACCCGATGATACCCTCTGGTATTGTGAGAGTTTGTCAGGGATCAAACACAAGCTGGGGTAGCCAATCCCTGGGGAGTGCCCCACAAACTTTCACAGTCCCAGGTAATACTCTTGTCGTTTGAAACGGCAAGAGGGGGACCAGGAAACCACTTATCACAACAGTACAACCCAGTCCTCGTGTTATGACTATGGCCAAACTTATAAGCGTGCTTACTATGTTAAACTTCATTCAAATAAACTGAAATTTACCGCTCCAGCAGATTGATCCATTGTTAAACAGTCTGCTAGATTTCAAAGATACACCATGAAGGGTTCCAAAGTTACAGTGGTCCTTATGACTGGACCTCCCATTACTTGATCATGTTGCCAGTCAATCTGAAACAAAAAGATTAGTTATCCAATCCAGTTAATAAATTCTCCCTCTAAAAGTACACGTCAAACACAATAACTCCTGCAACTTTCAGCAAATTCGCCCAAAAAAATCCCTCGATCTGAAGTGGGCAAGACAACACAGAGGGCCAGACAACAACAGGTGAGGGCAGGACAACACCCTATGTGGGCAAGACAACAACGTGTGAGGGCAAGACAACATTCGGACAACACACAAATGGGGGCAAGACAACCCCAGAGGGCAAGACAACATTTTTGTGGGGGGAAGACAACACACAATGGGGGCAGAACAACACAGGAACATAACCCTAAACCCTAAACCCTAAACCCTAACCCCTAACCCTAACCCTAACCCTAACCCTAACCCTAACCCTGACCCTAGTTTCCACACGCGATGGTTGAATTTTAGCCGCAAAAAGAAGGTGAGTGTTGGGATTACCTGAAAAATTCCTAAGCAAGGATGAATTTCTTTCTGGAACCATTAATATTTGGAAGAAATTTGCTTAAATAATAACCCTTACCGCCTGTCTGGGTAAAACCTTGAATTTAGACTATAATGCACTGCTTTTCTTAACGAGGATTTCTTTCATTTCAATATGGAGGTCGAAATTTGGCAAAGTGACCTTAAAAGAGATCTCAGACTGACAATTGGAAAAAGAGGTTGAATTTGTCTGTTCAGAGTTTTGTCGGCAGTCTAATTGTTGTTCAATTCCTTTCTCTGAACTGCAAACCTTTTTAGTGAAATGAAGGTGAAAACAAAAGACCATTTTATTGCAGTTGGTTAACAGGCTAGGAAAGGAAAGCTGCACTTATAACGATCATGGTGGCTAGAGTTAAAGGAGACACTTGAATGTTTTCATCTTTGTGGGCACAGCGACCTGCTTCCCTTTTGTGGCGGTTATTGAAAATAACTTATTATAGCAGAGAACAAGCACACATTTTTTTAAACATCAAGTCAATTTTATTTTAAATGTGTTGAACTCCAAAATGAACATGCTGGTTGAATTTCAAATTTGAGCAAAACTATCTGTCATCTTTGTCACAGAAAAAATTAATTTCCTCATAAAACACGACTGCCCTAGCTTGAATATTTATCAACAGTTTGAGAGAGACTTTGACATCGATCATCTTGTTATAAAATTGACCGAAACCACCTGGCAGGCAGTACGGGTAGTTCTGATCCCATTCGTCCTAGGAGTCTCTCGCGACCGGCTCTCCCAAGTAAGTGCAGTCGGCCCCTGTAGTTGTCCAGACATCGCGGACTCTCTGCCGCACTATTCCGGTACGTTCCTCTGTGTAGACCCCGAGAGCTGCAGCTCGTCTAGCCTGCTGTAAAGCCTGTGTCTGAAGATCTGGCCGGTTGTTCTACCTAGGGAGAAAAAAAAAGCAACAGGTGAGATAGGTACCTCCACGGACCTCACAAAGTTATTGTTAATGTTTACCTGCTGAGTTGCATTGAATTAATTTTGATGAATTTTAAACTGTTGGAGTACGCGATGCAAACTCTTCAGAATGGGGAATTTCAAGATCACTTTACAGCATACTTTACAGTCGGGTAAATGCACTTAGAGTACTTAGTACTTTGAGTGCATCTACCCGCCTGTAAAGCACTAAGTCTCAAATCCTCCTATTTCCATTGGGCGCTTTGCATCAATAAAGTACAAAAAGAAAAAAATATAATAATAATAAAGCATGCTTCGTGCAAGTAGTGAAAATTAAAAAATTAAAATCAGGTGAAAATTTTTTAACCTACCATTGGTTCATTCTCAATTTCCCCCTGCCTCTAACAGGTCAAAATTAAATTTGGGTTAAAAAAGTTTTTGACAAAGATCGAGTCTCAATTTCCTCTGTCTCCTAGCCCCAACTATTCAGAATGAGGAATTTCAAGATCACTAATCTAATTTCCCATTAGGGCTATGAAAAGAAAAAAAGAAAAAAAAAACTTAAAAAATATAATCATCATAGTAATAAGAAGAAACCCAAAATCAGCCTAAGTAAGAAAAATTTGGACCCAACTTTGACTGTGACCTGTCATAAATACATCTCAAGATGACTTGCTCTCGGAGGAAATAGGCTGCAAGTGAAAATGCCACCAGCAAATGCCAATCTAATATTTTTGAAGTTAGCACCTATCAAATCATTTTGTCAATCAATGTGTAGTTCTTTATTTTTTAAATTTCAGTTCACCTGTTGTGGGTCGCAAGGTTGATTTTCCTGCAGGTACTTTTGAAGCCTGTCCAAAGACTCTCTGTTGGGTAGGCGTGTTGCTATGATTCCTGGTAGTGCCAGCAGACGCTCCCGGGGGTCGGGTGGTGCTTCCTGCCGTGCTTCTTCATCCCTCGGTCTTTGATCGTCAGCTGCTGGCGCTTCTGCGGACACCTGGGATGCTCTGGCACGTCTGGGAGTTGTCTGCTTTCTTCGTCTGACCATCCCAGAGCTGCCACTGGGTCTTCGCGTTAGTGTTGCTTCTGCAGCTGTGACTTGCAGTGCCTGTTATAAAAGGGTAAGATATATCTAGTTGGTCATCTAAAACAAGGCCTGGCTGATGAAGAGGATCTTTAAATGCGTGTATTATGGTTATTTGGAATAATGGGTTCTAAGCTCATGTACTGACTGACTGACTGACTGACTGACTCGCTCTTAATCACAGGAGAGACCCTACCTGAGTTGTTGTCTGCACAGACACGTAGCACTGCAGCAGATTTTCTATATGCCTGGTCACGGTTTCAGTGTATTCTGGGGTTCCTTGGGTGGGAAGTGGATCCATCTGGTCTCCAGCATCCCACCCGACGGAGAGCTCTGACTCATCCGAACTGCTGTCCTCCCCGTCGTCTGGAGCAGAAGCTATCATGAGATCCCAGTAAGAAGAACTGGCCAATCTGAGCCCCTTTGTCTGTTCCGCTTCCAGGGGCGTCATGGTCGGGAAGTCGACTCCAAAGCGAACCATCATTTCCACGAGACGTGCGGGCTTGTCTCACTTTCCCGCATATCTGATTGCTGTCGTTCGCGCGAACATCAGTTCTGTAACGGTCAGCCCCAAACCTCGTATCATTTTTTTTTTTGACATGAAAGCAGCTACGTCACCTGTAAGAGAGTCAATGTCAATTGCATTTCCTGAGCACTAGCCCTTCAAAGGAACAAATCACTTTGTACCAAAGGTAATCAGAGGAACTGCATTGAAAACACAAGATGTAATAAGTGAGGTGAATTACCGAGGAATCTGAGAATAGTCTTCCAAAACTGTCCCATGTTTGAATTTTCTTTGGTGGTAGCAGAGTTATCATTTTGACCTCACAATGGAATACTACTAATACTGTTTTTGTTTGTTTGTTTGTTGTTTTTTAAAGAAAACAAATTGTTAAAAAATGTTTTCAAATTACCTGGAGACACGCTTCGAATTCCCTGGTTTGAAATGCGTGCTGCCACAGTGATATTGCCAGGCAAGATTCCACGATGGCTGTCCATGAGACGACGAGGGAAACCATGTGTAAACTGTGCAGAGACATCGCTCCAGTGGGGGGCATTCAAGATCATGACGTTCCCAAAGAGGTAAAGGCGTACCAAATTCAAGTTGCGGTCGAATGCCTCGTTACCACATTTCAGACTCCTATCCTATTCTCCCGTGGTTAGAAACATATCCTCCTTGGACAGTTCATTTCTTTTTTCTTGTGAGTGGTCTGACTCCTGCAGCTGTCAGCTACACCATTCCTCTCTACTCTGTACGTAGCGTGAATAATAATTTCTACATGCCTGAAGGTCTTCAAATACCACTTCTCCAGTTTGGTCGTCAGGAAAAAGCCCTTCGGGCAAACGCAAGCTGTCATACAGGAACAGATTGAAGTTGAACTGCATTCTTTCTTCCAACGATACTGCCAGGCCAGATGGGAAAAACGGTGCAACAATGACCGGTGCCACATCCCTGCTTGTGGATGGCTGGTTGTCTAAGGCCACATGCAGCATTGGTGAGTCCTGGGGTTGTGTTTGATCATATATGAACGAGCTTGAAGAGCTAGAAAAAAAGAGAAAAACAAAACGAAAATAAAAACTAAAAGATAAAAAAAACATGAATTGCTATGCTTAAGAGCTACTTCTGTTTCATTTTTGAACGTGGGTGAATCCTTGTTTACATTTTACATTAAAAACAATTTGTTCGAACTCGCGCTTCTTTCCCCTTGTACTTTCGTCAACGCGGGACGGCAAGGAATTAATTCACTGAAAATGTCACCCCGTCGACTTCCAAGGAGAATGAATTTTGCGTCCGATGGACGAGAAGTACAGCGAACCCTCTTTCATCGGAGGTATTGCGTTCAGAGCTGAATAAAACTGCTCTACATTTTTACTTCCTGAAAACATTTTTTATCACGGTTGATGACTCTCTCTTGTATTCTCCTTAACGCGGAATGCGAAGGGATTAATTCACTACAATTTTCACCCTGTCGACTTCCAGCGAGAACGAATTTTGCGTTCGATTGACGAAAATACAGCGAACCGTCCGCCTTCTTTGGATAAATTAGGCGTAGAGCTGATGACTACTATAAATTTTTACTTCCTGAAAGCATTTTTTATCACGGTTAATGGGTCTTTCTGCTTGTATTTTCGCTAACTCGGCGTGGGAAGGAATCAATTCACCGAAAATTCCACCCTGTCGGCTTCCATTGAGAATGAATTTTGCGTTCGGAAAGGACGAAAAGTACCGCGCACCATCATTTCTTCAGATATATTGCGGTAGAGCTGAAAACAAAAAAAAAACAAACAAACAAACAAAAAACTACTCTGTATTTTTACTTCCTGAAAGCATTTTTTTAACACGGTTAATGGGTCTCTCTCGTTAACGCGGGATGCGAAGGGATTAATTCACTGAAATTTTCACCCCGTCGACTTCCAGCGAGAGCAAATTTTGCGTTCGATTGACGAAAAATACAGCGAACCGTCCGCTTTCTTTGGAAATATTAGGCGTAGAGCTGATGACTGCTGTGCATTTTTACTTCCTGAAAGCCGTTTTATCACGGTTAATGGGTCTCTCTGCTTGTAGTTTCGTTAACGTGGGACGGGAAGGAATTAATTCGCTGAACTATCCAACCATCTTGCCCGTTCAAAATTTGTGTGAACTGTTGGTATGTTTTTTGAAAATATGTTGGCCTTTAAGTTACATTTTTCAAAACAGTTTCGGAAGTTACGTGAATTCTAACTGGGTCTTGTGATGTCTAAGAGGAATGTTTTTGAGAACATGGAAACTGGTTTTGCAGTTTGGAGCGTGATTCTTCAGGAGTCAGAGGTTCATGACGGTCATCTGAAATACTAAAATAAGCAAGATTGAAATGGCTCGAAACTTTTTGACGGTTCATATCGATCTGCTCTTTGACGGTTGACGGTAGGAAAAAAAAAAAAAAGACATTTTCCACGGCTAAATTTTTCGTCGTTTGACGGCTGAGGGTTCAAGCCCGTTTGATCTCCTCATAAAGGGTGCACTGGTTCTTAAGCGCATGTGTGAGAACAGAAAAAAAAAATCAAAAAATTAAATTAAAAAAGAAACAGACAAACAAACAAAAACAGTCTGACTTACTTTTCAGTAGACTTGATCCCTTCTTATACGGTCGAGATGCGCTATTATTTGTGTTAGAGGTGCGGCACGACTCGTGTTAGCGTCACTTAGTGTTAAAGACACTGACCAGATGGCTCATTTTATTGAATTGATTGTCGGTTAATTTGGTCATTTCAGAGGGATCGTAGATACGAACATAGTCGCAATGCTTGTCTGTTTGTTTACACTTCTATTCGTTTTGTAATCAGACCTTTCAGCGTCACCGCGCGCACGTGCCAAAAGCGACTTTCGCGTCCCTAGCTGTCGTATTTTTGTTTCTCAAACCCCTAGGCACAGGCAGGACCGATATGTGAGTACCGGCTCTGTAGCTCTGTTTTTCAGCATTGGGCGAAAGTATGCAAACAGATCTTTTGTCGTATTTGTCGGATTTTCAATGGATTCGAGATTTAAAGGCCAAAATTGTCTCAGATGCAAGTGAACACCCAGCCAGAAAATTCTTGTCATTTTGTACCGAAACTTTTGTGCTTGAACGCCGTTTGTATCGTCTGTACCGTTTGTCACGGGCGTTAGGGCCCAGTTTTTCATCAGATCGATAGAACTTCGTTGCATCGTCGCTTCAGTTTACGGTCGATTGACTGTGATTTACTCGCATTTGCGTCAACGGTCAACTTTGGTCTGGCTTGGTTAATGTTCAATCTCGACCTGTAGATATAGCCCCCCGGCAAACACCTCGTTAACCGCATCTTGAAATCTTACGAATTCGATTTTTAGGTCGCCGCAAGCATCAGTGATGGTAGTATCTAGACAAGAACGCGCGTGTTGAACATCACACAGTTTTTTTTTTTTGTTTTTTTTGTTTTTTTTTTTGAAGGTGGAATTTGGTAAGTGTGTGACTGTCGTGGAAAACTTACACGATGAGCAATATCGAGGGGGGAGATGAAGATCAAAGCTACACTGACTGCTCGGTCGCGAGCGTCGACGGCGACGACAGCCCCTGCTCTCTGAGCCAGTCTGCGGAGTCTATGGCTAGTTGTTCTCTAGACTCTAGCGACCATGAAGAATCTGATCGCGCCGGTGAGCCCACGCCTGCAGCAAGGCCGGAATCACTGCCACCCGTTGCAATAAGCCTAGTATCTGAGATGAGGAGCGCGAAGAACACGATGGTGGAGACGAAGCCCCACAAGAGCCTCCTATGGCCCCCCTTTCTCCGAAGAGGGCAGCCCACGTGCCACATCTTACAGATCTCCCACCCGCAAACCCACAAAGGTCCAGGAAGACCGCATCTCATCGCGGTGAGTCCATGCCCGCAGCAGCAGGGCCGGAACTACCGCCACCTGTTGCAATAAGCCTAGTAGTATCCGACGATGACAGTGACGAGCAGTAACCATGTGATCGCGGAGAGGAAGCACCACGACAGCCTCCCGTAGCCGCCCTTTTATCCGAAGAGGGCAGCCCATGCGCTGCGTCTTACAGATCTCCCGCCAAAGCTGAAAAAGTCCAGGAAGAAAACCGCATGTCATAATTGTCAACACGTGCTCACAGCAGCAAGGCTGGAACTACCGCCGCCCATCACGACGAGCAAACCCCACGCTGACGACCAGCAGCACGGAGACGATCGAGCAGAGGAAACCCCATGACAGCCGTAGCCCCCCTTCCTCCGAAGAGGGCGGCCTATCATGCGCCACATCTTACAGACCTCCCACCACACCTG